AATATAAATGTTATTGTTTTCCTTTGATTGTATATTGTGTCTGTGAAGAAGTCTAGTTCTTACAAAGTATTACAAAGAACTCTTCAAAAGAAGAGTTAATCTAATTAGCTTCAAGTTTGTCTTACAAAACTGTTGGTTTGTGCACTGATTAGGTTACACGGTGTTAATGCGTTATGAAGATTTGACGCGCTGTAAATGAGTGAAACTTTATTCTGTGAAAAAAATGACTGCAGAAATAAATCTCTTTGTTGTACACCTGTTGTATTCCCACATCTACCTTTTTATGAGCCTTGCAAAAAATATACAGTGACACTAGTATAAAGTGGGCACCAATAGAGCCTTTCTTGGTGTCTGCTTAATTTAGGTGTGAACATTTGAAATAAAATTGAGCCATTCATCTGCTTAATACAGGATGTTCACCTAGGTTCCGCTTGATACAAGCGTTACTGTACATTCAAAATTCAGACCGTGATTATTTCTTCAAAAAGGGTTGAATCTCTTTTAGTGGTGTGCTGATCATCAATAAAATAATAATGATATTAATATTAATAATAATGAAATCAGTCATTGACCAAGGTCTTTAACTAATGCAATTTCATTGATTATGGAAAATGTTTAATGGATAATGATGGGAAAAAAGCAAAATGGCATGTAAACATATTAAAAACTTGGGTGTTGTCTTTTTAGTGCGCTCATAAAAAAAGAAGAAAGAAAAAAAGAGAGAGAATTTGATAACCCAAAAGCCCAGAAAAACTTAGAGCTCCAGGCGAGAACCAAACTCATGACCCTCCAAGTTCTACTGAGCTACTGGAACTCTATGATAAGCAGGTTCAAATCCACTGAGGTCCCTTTTCTGATACATTTCACATGTTTTTGTTCTGTTCTAAAATATGGTGCAGTAGCTGTTTGATTATATTTGATGATCGATTGGGTGGGTAAGTCCAATTATTTCTGATGATTGGTTATGAAAACTCAGCCGATTCCCAACACTAATCTCTTTACACCTTTGTTACCTGTCTCTAACAGCAACAGACTATGACTATGGCCACTCCCACTAAATGAGATGTAGCAAAATTTTAATGTTAAGGGTTATTTAGTGGAATTCCCTTTTTGAATTTGCTCAAGAAGTGTGCAATCTTAAAGGGCATAGATTTAAATTACTTTTGATTTAATTAGGTTTTTATGATAGTAATAATATTTTTGTTTTCAGTTGTGTATGAACATCGTGCCCGGCTGGAGAGATCTCTTCAAAAGGAGAAAACAGACCACAAGAATACAAAGCTTGGTGCGTACTTTGTACTCAATCATAAGTCAAGTAGTGTTTAACTATTGTCAGTAAATAGGTGTTGTCGCTGTATACGGCCACTTACAAGGAAAAAAAACAAAAGAATAAACTTGAACTAATTTCTTGCCTTGTAAGTTCTTGTGATTGCTTAAGAAATTTCAGCATTGGTAACTTCTGTGATAGTATTTTATAACAGCATTTGAATGAAAAACAAAATGAGTGTTGACATAGTGGTTGCTAACTGGGAGTGGTCGTTTCTGAAAGTGGTCACTAAGAAAGGGTTGACTGATTGACAATAAAGTTGTTATTATCATGCACTATAGCTAACATGCAGCCAGTTAACCTTCATCAAGTGTCCCACTATTGTTCCTTACATTAATACCTTATGCTTATTGAGGTACTTATTGTGTGTAATGCTTTATGTTTTACAGAATTTTCCAAAAAGCAGAATGATTTTCTTTTGAATATTACCAGATCAAAGGTGATTGTTTACGTCAAACCATGATAGAAATTTTGACCTATTTTTTTTTCCGTCCTTACCTGTCATATAAATTAGTAATTCTTCTTAACAAAAGAATTAATGTTGCTTAATTTCAGCATGAAGCAATGAACAGATTTAATTCATTAGAAACACAGTATAATATGCTTAAGGTATGTACTTGGACATTTTTTGGCAAAATATAGTTTTCATAGTGGTAGGCAAAAAGCTATTCTTCTTACTTGGGGAGCAAGGGTGGCGTAGTGGTGAAAGCACTTGCCTCCAACTAATGTGGCCCGAGTTCGAATCCTGGCATCAATGCCATATGTGGGTTGAGTTTGTTGTTGGTTCTCTCCCTTGCTTCAAGAGGTTTTTCTCTGGGTACTCCGGTTTTCCCCTCTGCTTAAAAACCCATACTTTCAAATTCCAATTCGATCTGGAACGCAGGGACACTTTTCAATGAGTTGTTATGAACTCCTTAGGGCTCGGTGGGTAGACAAATTTACAATTTACAAATTTACTTCTTTTCTTCTTGTAATATTTTTTTGATTGATTTCTTTAAAACAATAAAAGGCATTAATTGCAAGAGATAAATGAAATCTTGAATCTCCTTTTAATAATATAAAGAATCTTGTTTAAGATAAAATCATAAGATCCTATAGGTGGGTAGGATCCTGTGTTTAGATCCTATTTAGTGGAGAGGATCCTGTGTAAGATCCTATGAGGTGGGCAGGAACCTGTATAAGATCCTATGAAGTGGGCAGGATCCTGTCTAAGATCCTATGAGATTGGCAGGATCCTGTATAAGATTCTATGAAGTGGACAGGATCCTGTATAAGACCCTAAAAAATGAATTCACAGAGCCTTCTGTTTCTTCAGCAAGAGTTGTTTCAAATAAATGGGTAACTGATATGACAAAAAAATCCCCCTTGCCTCCTAAAGAAAAAGGGAAGAACAACCATCTGATTTGCTGCTTAAGTAGCATCCAAACTGCAACTGTCATTTGAATGTACCCAAATTATGCAGTTGCATAACATCACAGGCCTTGTTTAGGGATATAAAGTCATACATCTGCTTAACTGTGAGTAGGAGATTGTTACTCTGTATCCATTTCATTTTATTTGCCTCAGGCACAATCCAAAGAGCTTGATACAGATTATGGTCGCCTTCAACAAACCTACAGTCGCCTTAGTGCAGAGCACGCTTCAGTGACTAATCAGCAAAACAGGAATTTTCAGTTATTTAAAGAACAGAAAGCTAATGAAATATCATCCCTTGAAGGTAGGAATGTCAGAATTTTGACTCCTGTGTTGAGTTTAATAACAAAGAAGACATCAGCTTTTGGAATTACAATAATAAATTAATTATGACTATATCAGTAAATTTTGTGGGGCATGTAAGATAAAAATACAATAAACCATATCAGTACAATTTGACATAGCTTAACAAAGTGTGTTTATTTTGTTCTATGTGTACTTTAAAGAGGAAATCAGGACATTGAAACAACAAGTTGTATCACTCAGGACAAATCTCAGGTCCAAGTCGGATGAAGTTGAGCAATATAAGGTGTGTTCCTTGAGATCTGTTACTTATTCAATTACTGAATTTGGTAAAAACGAAAGCAAACGAAAGAAACATGTTTTTAGAAGTATGGATACACAAGGGTGTTGAATCAGCATAATTTATTATGTTAGTACAATTTCTATTGTCTGCTTGGAAGATATGAAACTTGGTCGAGGCTTTATGGGCAGTTTCTTACAAGTCATGATTGTGTTTTGTCACCCAAGACTTTTGAGTTGATGTCTTTATTCACTGGAATGGAGGAATGGCTTGTAGTTAAATGGGGTGAAATGCAACTCAATGATGGGAAAGCACTGGATCAGAGAAACATAATGTGTTTACATTTTACATTCTTTTTTGTTAGCATTCCAGTTCTAGAGCAGTAGCTGCAAGTCAGCAATACCAGGAGAAACTCAAGGATCTTCAGGGTCAGCTTTCAAGATATCAAGTATGTGCAGTGTACCTTCATTAAAAATTTGCTGCAGTAATACTCAGCCCTGGTATACAGTGTATATACCTGATTGAAAAAACTTTGTTGCTTCAAAAGTATATTGTCACAAGCTGCTCATGTGGATGCAAATCCCTAGAGTACTTTGTTTAAGGCTACATGGTGGTGTCTTTTTATTGTCTTCCAAGTAAGCTTCTAGGTCCTATCGTATAATTTTCAATTTTATTGTGCCTCAGCAGTATGGCTACACTCTGTAGAGATTTCTGATGTGCCCAGCGCAGGTGAAGTTGTGACCTTATCGGCAAGAAAACTGGAAACCATGACCTTTTCTGAAATACACCGTTGCAAAAAGCTTCGATGACCTAAACTTTTCTGGAAAGAAACTTAAATTTGCAATGCTAATTAAGTTCTACCTATAATCCACTATGTCCCATTGTTCATATACATTATACTTTTCAAGCAATAACATTTTTTCAGTCAGGTATACTGGTATCCTATGTGAATTCATGAGAATACTTTGTCCGTACCATAATAATACTGTATTGTTTCTGTTTTATTGCCCAGGAGAAGCTTAACAGCTATATTAGCAAGTCTAAAACATCTCACAGAGACATGAAACTTGACAAAAAGAGGGAACAAGGAGAAAGCAAGCTTCAAGGTAAGGTGGATAGATTCTGTCACTTTATAGTGCCTTTCTAGAATTGTAAAGAATCAACCATAAGAGGACACAGAAAAAATCTGAGCCCCAGATTTTTTCTGTGTCCTCTTATGGTTGATTCTTTACATCTCTCTTTATTTCCTTTCTAGAATTACTTAACAAAATGACAATGGCTGTCTTTACACTTAAGGCCGTTAAGTAAGACTTAAGAGCTGCTAAGTTTTACTTAGCCAAAAATATGTGTGTGAAGGCCCAAGTAAAATCTCAAGTTATTTTACTTTGCATCTCATTAAAGTCGGAAAGTTGAAACGATTCAAGAAAGTTTCAAGTGACTTAAAAACCATCCTTAAAACGACTTAGCAAAGTTGCGGTTTCTCGAGCTTTGAGAAAGGTGAATCATGTCAATCAATCTTAATTACATGTATGATGCATGGGAAAATAGCCTTAAAAAAAAGTTAACCTGAAGTAAAAAAGAAATGGTTGTGTGTGTGAAGCTTCCTTTTACTTGAAGAATTTTTAATTTTACTTGTCTTGAAATATTTCTTAGCTTATTTAGGCTCTAGTGTAAAGACTACCAATGATACATAGTCTAGCGTTAATTTATCGCCATTTTACTGCAAGTCTGATCTTGTCATTTTATTATATGTTTGAGGTGTTAAGATTTCTCTCGCTGTACCTACAGAACTCTCCATGGGCCTTTTAAATCACTGTTTCATAGGAATTGTGTATTTCTATATCTTTTATAGATGCTTTGAGTCCGAGGACAATAAAAAGTAAAGATGGACAAGAAGGCCCGCAAAAGGAAACAGAAAAGTAATTATAATTATGCCTAACTAATTAACTAATGTAACTAACTGACTGACTGACTGGATGACTAACTAACCAAGTAAAACCTCATGGAATATACAGTTACTGGTAAAACTTAGTTGTTAGCATTGTGACTCAAAAATTATGACAAAATTGTTACATGTAGTTGTTGGCAGATTGAAAATAAAGTTGGTTTCAGACATGATCTGTTAGACCCTGTTTATGTCTCGCTCCTAGTAAACTTCCTCCAACAGCAGAGTACTAAAGTGATGATGTCATAAAATTAAATTTCTGAATTGTGGGATTCGTCAAGATATTCTGAAAGAACAACGTCCAAGAGGCCAAAAATGAGCATTTCGGGCCAAATTGTCTCTGAGATATTAGCCCAGTTATGCACTGATAACTCCATACAAAACCCTCTAAATTTTTTTGGGCCAACCCCCCAAAAAAGTTTCAAAGGGTTTGTATGGAATTGTAAACCAAAAATATCATGACGAGGCAACACAACAAAGAATAGTTTTGGAGAGAACTCTGCATTATTGAATAACTAAACATAGGATAGCATACTTGAATGGTTTAGGCTATGTTCGCACTATACAGTATAGCTTTTTGTATCTTGACTATAAACACCTATCCAATATATGACTCTCTACTTTAGAGATCAGTGCCTGGCATCTGTGCCCCATTACAGAAATTGTGCCAAAATCACTGTTTTTAAAGGTGAACAGTAGCCCTATAAAGTATGGTTTTGGTGCCAGGGCAAAAACTATCTGATAGAGTCTGAACATAGTCTTATTTGTTGTAAAACAATAAATTAATAAATTTGATTTATACAGCCCCACAGTCCCCTTTAGAAATGACAGTAGTTAAACTGTGTTCAGTGTGACAATGGGTTTGTTGGTATTAATCTCAAAACAATCAATAACAAAACAGATTATTAGATTCAGTTTTTGTGATATCTGGAGTAATCAAGGTCTTGGTATTAAGGTGTTTTGCCTCAGCAGATAACACTTATCTTGAACTGTAAATGTAAAGAAAAAAACTTCATCCAATAATTGTTTACAATTGGTTACACATCAACTGACTTACTATGATGTAATCTGTTAGTCTCTGTTTATCCTGCTACTTTCCAAGGTAAACATAACACTGATAATTAGTGAATCTTTTTTCTCTTAAAGATGCACATATTGCTGATATGAGGAAATCTCCTGATGAGAATGTTTATGAACAGAGAAAGGTGAAGGAAGGTTACACAGCAGAGGAGAGTTATGACAGCATGAAGGACATTCCTCTAAAAGACTCCAATGTAAATTATGGTGCAGATCAGGCAGGGCATGGAGTGAAGGTGGTGTCACCAGGTGACGGCAATGCTATGAACAAGTGGGCTGATATACTAAAGGTATTTGCTAACTTTTTGCAGCCCTGTAATAAAAGTCTTGTCATAAATTTGTTTAGCATGGGAACAAGGTCGTAGGTGAAGCAAATCAATAATTTAAGTTTTTGTTCAGATTAGTGCACCATGACTAATGCTCTTATGATGCAGTATGTGTGAATAAATTTATCATTCACCAGTTGTCATATTTTACCTGTCCTTTCACCTTATATCAGCTTGTATTTTGAGCGTTTGGCAGTCGTTACTGAGGGTCTGTATTCTGAATCTGAAATAATTTTTGACCCTCGTTAAGTGCAAGATAATACTTAACTCAACCAACACATTTACTGAGGATGCTGTTTCTGAAAACTTAACATCGTTCGTTTCATCACATACTGGCACATTGAAACTTTTATTGGTAGAAGGCTGTCGAGGCTGACGTAGAAATATTGCGTGATGAATGAATTTTTCTCGTTTCTTTTTTTACCAGCAAGCAGCAGAGCAAAGTCGCAAGGAAGGCAATGTAGGAGGTAGTAAAGAATTGGCAGGAGAGACTGAACTAGGGAAAAGCAGATTAGATGACTATCGTAAACAGGAGACTGTTGCTGCTGGAGATAATGACCAGAGACACCTTGGTGAGGAAGAGGTTAAAGATAAACAGGATGGTGAGCCTGTGGTAAACCAATACAGTGATGCAGATAGAATGCAGGCTGGCAAACCTGTGGTAAAGGGAGGACAAAGTGATGGGCGTAGCATACAGACAGACCACGTGGCTGATCGACCTGGAGAACAGGGAGACCAACAGAAGAATGATCATGTGGTGCAGGCAGGTCATGTAGCTGATAGACCAGGTGAACAGGAAGACCAAGAAGGAGAAGAAGAACAGGAGAAGGAGGGAGAGGAGGAGGATCGTAAAGAAGATGGAGCTGCTGATATATCACGTGACAGTATCAACAGTCAAGTTGCTGAAATGAGAGAAAACCACCAACAGCAGCAAGAGAAACAACGGGGACAACTTGAAGCAGCCCAGATACAGCAACATGTGGCTCCCATACAAGCTGTACTGAGACAAGCGGAAGAACAGAGAACACAGCGGGCAGATTTAGCCCAGATACAGCAACATGTGGCTCCCATACAAGCTGTACAGAGACAACAGGAGGAACACAAGGCACAACAGGCAGATGGTAGGCTTCTTACATTTTCATAGATTAGTTGTTTCAGTATTTATTTCTAGGATTACTCCATGTCTCTTTCGTTAGAGCTGTGATCACGGCCAGAGTTTGAAGGAGTGAATTACAGTGCAATATTCACAGTATCCTATTTCCGGTGCAATTGTCAAGAAGGGAGGCCGTTAACTTGATTTTAGATTTTTCTCGCCTTATGAAATGTAGATACCGTCTTTTTATTTCGACATTGATGAAAGAAAAAACTGCCAACAGTTTACAACTGATGTTCATGCTTTTTAAGTATTATTCAGTCCATCGTCAGTGATGAGTACAGTACATCTTTTAGCCACGCTTCGGTCAGTTTCAGTTTGGCAAAAATTTTTATGTTGTTAAAAAAGGTGGAAATGTGTCTCTGAAGAGATGCAAATAATTTTATTGTTTCTTGTCATTCATATGTTCATGAATGCGTTTGGATTTAAAATTTATTTGATGTTTTTTGCTTTCCGCAGCTGATGATGAGGATGCAGGAGATGATCAAAATGACCAAGAAGCTGATCCGGATGAGAAAGATCCAGATGACGCTGGCGAAGAAGAAGAAGAAGAAGAAGAAGATCAAAACTCACGGCAGCATCAGGTTCACTATGGTGACAGGACACTCAAGGGTGCAAATAAGCCATAGAATGAACAACAAGTATAGCGAACATTAATTACAAGAATCTCTAGTCTGTAGCGAGCAAGTCCAATATCACAGTTAAAAACTAGAAATTTGGACACATCCGTAACACAAGTGACCATTTGCTAGTGATGTCATTATCCAAGCTACACGGGTTACACATCCTCCTTACAACCCTTGGGTTCTGTAAATCGGTGCGTGACTTCAGTATTACGGTGCCCATGAAATGCTTTCATGATATTTCAGGAAAAGTCAGTTTAGTGGCCAATAGTTTTAGGTGAATTGGTCATTTGCACGATGACGTCATTTTACTACTAAGACCAGAATCCTTCAGGCTTTTGCTTTTGTTATTTAAACCTCGCCGGGATTACCAAATTTAAATATGAAAGGAAAAACGAAAAGGAATCTGGTCGTAGTAAAATGACGCCATCGTGCAAATGGCCCATTGAAGGCACAACGGTTAATGGTTTGTTTTCGTGATTTGTGACGTAATGGGGCGTATCGTTCAGTGATGACGCGTACACTATTGTATTTTTCAAATCGTAGCTGCTAAGTCAAAAAAAAGTCAATAAATAGGTTTTTTGCTACAATTCAGGTATAACGCTCAATATGTTATTGAAATAATTATGATTACACCACGGTGCAAAGCATATTTTTAGGTAGGAATATTCGAGACTTTTTAAGGATGCACAGACAGAGTTATGGTAAGCTCTTAATAAATACTAGAAAGCGGATACGAAATCCCTACTTAGATTTAAGATTTTTCATCACATTTTCTAGGGTATTCATCAATACCTTATATTTTTAGAAAGCTCTAGGTTCTAGCAAGAGAAAATAATGAAACCAACTTCCGATTAATTCAAGCGTTTAATTGGTCTAAAAATAACTTTGGGTGAAATTCACATAGGGGGCGCCCAAGGGCTCAATAGACTGCAGGGCGTTTCCATCTTACTCCTATTATTCTCTCTTGGTGCTAGAGTTTAATCTTTGATACTTTTGCCAAAGTTAATCACCAGGGATGATAGAGCTATTTATTAGAGAGTTTAAGCGTCACGTATAAGGCAAACGTCAGGTTCAAGTTGAGAAATTCTCAAAATAGAAAACGAGCAGATAAAAAACAGCTCAAAGCAGTTCTTATGGATAAAAAATAATTTATGTGTATAAAATTAATAATGAACCGTAAACAACAAGTAATGGGGAAACTTGGTCACGTGGAACAAATTCGCGTTTGCTGTTTGACGTAAACGTGATGCTTAACCTCTCTATTGTTAATTCCTTGCAAGCAATTTAGAAGTTACTCAATGTAGCGTAACTGTAGAAAGTAAACAACAGTTATAGAGACGAATCAAAACGTTTTTAGGGAAAGATCATAGATTAATTGAGTATTTATATTTACAAAAATTGAATAAAAACCTCCTCGCGTTGTAACATCAATATTATCACTGTTTTGTGAGGCAGTATGTTGGATTTCAGTAAAATGCGAAAACACGTCGGTATATTTATTGCTTAGAAGTATTTCGATGCTTAAATAAAGTTGCATATTTATTGTTTGTCGGTGCAGATTATCTCCCTCTCCTCTTTGATTTGTAAATAAAGTTTTTTTAACAGGAGTATTTAACCATTCTCTATGAGCATGGGGCTCGCCGCACACGCCAAGCACTGCTGTGAAAAGAGTAAAACCAAAGGGGGCTTTGAAGGTACTAGAAAAAGACTCTCTACGTTCAACTTTGTCTGTCTTTTCTGAGAAAGAGTGAAAATATTTCACCAGGAGAAAATAATTTGTTCATTTACTTAATTTTCTTTCACGAAAACACGGCTTTATGCTCAATAACTTTCGTTAACAATACTCGTCTCGCCGAGCGAAAGAGGAGAGAACCCTAGGAACGAGTTTGTCTGATTCGATCTATTTTGAGAATCATGGGGAGGGTTAGACTACGAGTGGTCCCAAGAGACCTTTTTACCGATACGGCGGCCATATTGAATTAATTCGATTTATCGAGTATTATAGGATGCCCAGGGGCCATGAGCACATTTCGTTTGTATTTTCGAGCGCTTTTCGGGGCATTTTTTCTTAAAGTTTTCTTAGAATAAGATTGTAATGGGAAAAAAGATCCTTATGCCGTGTTTGGATGTCATGATGATGGCCTTTTTCTAGTTTAGTATTAGAAATCAAATATGGTCGTTCACTGTATATTTCTCGGGAAAAAGGCGATCATTATTACATCCAAACACGGCACAAGGATCTTTTTTTTCCCATTTGGACATCCTATAATACTCCTTAAATCGAATTAATTCAATATGGCCGCCGTATCGGTAAAACACCCCAACGACTCGTTCTTATTATTCTGCTTATTATTTTGTTTAAATAAAAATGGCAAACTGAAACACTGACTCACATTTTAAGGGTAAGCCCTTCACTAGAACACATCAAAGATCTGATGGGTTTGAAGCGGTTTAAACATGTTCCTAAACGCTGGCGTAATTAAAGTCACTTCAAGATCCGCTCACATGATGAGTAAGTGCCCGTAATGCCATCAGCTTCAGGGCCCGGGGAGCAGTTTTTAAAGGGCGGGGGCCGGTGACCACCTCTTTCCAAGAGGAAAAGTGGGGGGTGGGGGGGGGGGGGAAATTTGGCTGTTCTCTCTTTGTGGCTGTTTAGAACTGTCAGATTACTAAACCTTTCTTGAGTCATTGTTGAGCGGAGTCATGTTTATAAATTTCAAGCCGCTGAAAAGTACCTTTCTCCCGCTGAGCCTCACTGCACTTGCAGGATCCACCAGTAGAAGTTTGCGGATCATGATATTACACTGTAGGTTCCTGTAAGCACTTCATTTGTCTAGTATGTCATCCAAATGCATCAGAGACCACATCATTAGCCGATATAATTTGTTTTAAGAAACCGTAGTTCCGTGGAGTAGTCTTCAGATTTAATCGAGAAACTTCATAAAAAAGACTCCATTCTGCATCGTCGCATATGCTACATAGCCTTGCTGGTTTGAAAACGCAGAAGTCTAGGACTAAGCGCAGTTTTCTAAAGAAAGGCGTTTTGAAGCTTACTACGCATCAGTTCTAGGATCGAAACGGACCAATAAAAAATTGAGATGCTGGAAGATTATTATTCCAACAAAGATACTATTTATATGAAAATGTATATTTCAGTGGAACCTCTATATAACGAAGTCCTCGGTCTAGCGAACTATTCTTTTCGACTCCAGTAATAGTAAAACATAAGGCAATATGAAAAAGAACCTCGATATAAGTTGGCCATTCGTTGTTTTGAGGTTCCACTGTGCTTAATTTTATTTATTTATTTCTCAAAAAGTAAGGGGGGTGGGGTAAAAGATCACCGAGGCAACCACCACTTAGCTTAAATACTTTTGCGAACAGCATTATGTATGGCATTTATTTTACTATTTGATTAAAATCTAGAATTTATCGTCAGTAACTTGAAGGTCACAATTCTCTAATCTGATCTTCGAGTAGTTTTCTATATTGATCGAATCCGCCATCCTGTCTCATGACTGAGCCATTAGAACACATCCAAACTTCTTTACACACGCTTCTTACAAGTCTTTCATCGTGTGTTACCATAATAACTCCACCCTACAAGACAAGGAAAAGTGGTGACACCTTTTGCAACCTCTTATTCGAGGCCCCAACAAGCATATCACAATCAAGACAATCACTGATATCATCATTACTGCTAATTCCTACATGGTTTATTTGTCCCAGAAAAGAGGGTCGCCTTATTTTTAGCATTATAAAACTAATTGAAAGTAGAAAAAATAACAATAACATCCACAATTCAGGAATGGGGAAGTGAGATATCTGGGGCAAGAAGGGACGTACACAGGAGCCGCCTTGATTCATCCGTGCGCAATAGAAATAATTACCTTATAATTGTTCAAAGCAATTCCAAGAGCTTCTATTGTCTCTACATCTAAATGATTTGTCGGTTCATCAAGGATGAGAAAATGAGGCCTAAGAAAACAAAATAGCAAATACCTCATATAAGAACGAAGAATGTGAATGCACGAAGCAAAAAATAGATAATAATAGTTTTATAACAAGGAAAATGATAATAAAACCTCAGTCGTTAGAGCGCTTCACTGCAGAGCGGGAGTCACGGGTTCGAGTCTCGGGACGGGACTAACACTCAGCATCTTACAATAACTGAGAACTAAAGGTACTACCTTTGTCTTCAACAGAAGTCTACATATCTACCCGGTAACATTGATTTACCAAAGCCATAGCTAAATTTACAACCACGTGAAGTTCTCGTTTTATATAGTAATTTAAGAAGTATCCCGGGAGTCAGTGTACCTTATCATACTCATCAAAGCCATAACCACTCGACTTTTCTGACCACCTGATAAACTCCTTACAGGTCTAAGGGCCAAGTCATTTATTACTCCGTATCTGCCCAGCTGGCGCCGATATTCTTCCTCGTGCTGTCCTGCGGTTAAATACATATTTTTAAAAATTACATATTGGTAATTTTTCTTTTTACCTTATCCATGAGATCTAACAGAGACACATTACCGCAATAAATACAATACGGCCTTTACCATGCCCACACCAGGTTTCTTTGAGTTGAAACGAAATTTCAAAGACAAGAACAGATCTATCTATCCACTTATTTCAGGCGGACAAGGGTGGGGCTGGAATTTAGAGTTCGTCTTAAATAGGTTCTGCTGTACAGAGAAAATGACCGGAGAACAGAAAGGAACAATTAAAGCTCAAGGCGTATATGGGGTGTACAAGCAATTATTGGCGTGACACTAACCCTATTTAACCTCCTTCAGTTCACTTCTGAAACTGGATCATGGGACAATTTTTGTTTTGTAATATCATTATCAAGATGAGACGCACTGATCTGATTTACGTTTTTCCAAACGTACCTGGGAATTTTGAAGCTATTAATTCCAGCGGAGTTTGTTCTGAACCGAGCTGATCCACGTGATGTTGACTTCTCTATACCTCATCGAGTTGTAAAACTGGTGGAGATAGCTTGTCACATTCAGGAAACCTACAACGAGAGACATTAATAAACTCATAAACTGATCAATATCTAATATCTTGTACCAAAGGAGAAATGAATACGGCAGCTAATTCAGTTGTATTCTGAAACTGGTGCATTATTGAGGTCAGATGTGAGGGAAGGATCAATTTTATGGTTCATTTTTTAAAGAAAAAAAAAGCTGCAAAATTAAATTTTAGTATAATTTATCACAACTGAACACTTTTTGCTAGTGCTAGGTTTACTAAGCTTGTCATTTCAATCAAACAAGCAAACAGGTAAGCAGGGGATCAACAACCAATTAACAATCACACAATCAAATCAATACAAATAAACAAACAAACAAAAAACTAGACTTACTTAAGTACGACAGGCGGATCAACTACAACAGGCTGAAGATCAGGCCTAAAACAAACAACAACAATGTAAGACCTTGCAAATCTTAGATATAACATAGAAACAAAATAATCGCATGAGAAGTCCTAAGTTCTTCAATTAAAAGATATTGCATTGCTTCTTGTTGCTAACGACTTACATTCACTAAAGGTTCAAGTATGTGTTTGCCTTTTTGACTTATTACCATGCCTTCAGACAAACTAGGGGCTCGAAGAATCTTGAATTCCAGCTTGTACTTTGGGTAAGCAGCTCTCCCATTTTACTTGACCAGGGCAACTTATTGCTGGTCTTAGTTAATGATTTTGTTCAACGATGACTTGAGCAAGTGAACTTTTAAAGTTACTTAGTACCCATCAAGAAAATCTACTTGTTCCAGACAGCTAGACAGGACTTATTTTTCAAGCCCTGGCTGTTACTGTCCAAGGTAAGGCAAGGCAAGCGAAAACGCGCCTTAAGAAAATCAAAGGCGTAATAAATTTCCCCATTATCAGGCTATTATAATTTTTTGTAGTGCATGCATATCAACCTACAGTTTCTCCAGTGCCTTAAGTCTGCTTTGTGCAAGAGAGGCTCGTTTTGCATTATATCTCCATCTATCAACAAAGGCCTGAAATATTACAGTCAAGAAAAAAATTAGTAAAGTAGTAGTAGTAAAGTAAAGTAACTGGTGTTGACATTCACAACCTTACCACACAGTGTAACAAGTGATAACTTGAAAGGTGTTGATAGGGGACGAACCTGTAAATGTTGTCTGTGCATTTGCTGTGCCTCATATTCACGTTGTTGATTGGTTAGCTTTTCTGTCATGGTTTTGACAAAATTCTGAAATAAAAAATTACAACAAATAGTGTTGGACATATCATACAGAACAAAATCAAGCAGTTTTAATATACTCTATGTGCATACACTGTAACATGTAAGTTTGCCAGATTAAACTCCTTGAATTATTGAACAGTTTGGAAACATGCGTGATCTTGGGTTCTGACCTAAGTTGTCTGTAAAGATGGAACGCCACTACTTGGCCTTATTTCCATTCATTGATAATGGTGACATGATGTTGCCGAAAGTCGGAACATTATTATGTTAGTTTTTACATGATTATGTTTCGCCAAAATCATTATTAATTATTCATAAAAATTTATGACAGTTATCTTGAAGACTCAGTAGTGGTAGGAACCACTGTATGTACTGTTTGTCAGCTTTCTTCACTTAACTAAACACATGTTTGTTAGGATTCAATCATCCACAAAAACCATAAATTATGCTCATTAGAAATCATACCTCATAGTTTCCTCTGTATGATTCCAGTCTCTGTGAGTGCATGTGAATTATATCAGTGGCAACTGCATCAAGAAATGTGCGGTCATGGGACACAACAAGCAGAGTGCATGGCCAATTCTGCCAACAAAAAAAATGTTAATGATTTTAACCTTGAAAGACTGAACGAAACTCAGTTGAAAAGTACAAAATTTCCATTTGACAATAAATTTTCAATTTACAATAAAGATTGAAAAAACATCATTGAAGCTCAGCTCAGCACTAACAGGATTATTAATATAAGTGATGCACATTGACAAGAAGTGAGTCCTTTTCCTTTTTCATATACCTTGATGCTACTAAATTTGTATTGCTAAGTTTCTGTTTGCAGCCAGGGACAGCCCTAACAGTGGATAGGTGGTCTAGAGACTCAGTGAAACCATGTTTACTGGTACATAAAATAATTCAGTAAGACATGTATTAACATTTTTTATTTATGAACTCAACACACATTTAACTCACCAGTAAATACTTCTCCAACCATAATACAGCTTTAAGATCCAACATATTTGTAGGTTCTATATGATGAAAAATGATACATTAGCATTGTTAAGCAAATCAAATTTAACATAACCAATGGCAGAAAAAAGAGATTTCTTACCATCAAGAAGAAGCAAATCTGGTCTGCAAGTAAAAATAAGGTTTAGAATAAAAAATAATAGAATACTCATGGTATATGATGTCCAAATAACATCTGAATAAAAAAATAATTAAATTTCTAGGGAATCCTACCACATTGCATACATGACTATAGTAAACCATATGATGTATAGTAAATGATGTATTTAATTTTTGAGTGTAAAAGTCTCTTACCGACTAAACAAAGTTCTTGCAAGGGCAAGTCTCATTCGCCATCCACCTGAGAGTTCTCTGCAAGTAACACCAAGCAAAAAAGGAAATAGCCATAAATCCTCTATTAACCCCCCACTCAAATAAGCCCCTCCCTCTAACAACCCCCCCCCCCCCTCCCCTTCCCTAATTATTCTTCACTAATAAATCATAGACTATATAAATCTATCACGATTGTAAAACTTTGTGTGGGCTGATCTGGGATGGTTCATTTACCAACTGGAAGTTCAGATTTGATTCTGATCCTCGGCTGTATGACCTACAACCTTCTTGTACTTGAGCTTTTCTACTTTGTATTCTAGTTCTTTATGGAGAAATGATAACATAGCCTTTTCTAAATTAAACAAGCCCTCCCTCTCAAATAAGCCCCCTGTCTCTATTAAGCCTCCCCTCAAATGGGCTTGAAATGGAGGATTTACGGTAGTAAATCAACGGGATACTGGTAAGGAATTAAACTTTGGACAATTCAGTAAACTATAACCAGCATCAGTCTTTCTTTGACTAGTTTGACCACAATTAATTGCTCTCCATTACGTAATTTGTACCGGTACAATGTTGCACTGTGTAAAGAAGTCAAAATTATTGTGCACCTTGTTTGCTGATGCTGCATTTTTGTTGAGAATCCCAGTCCAGCCAATATCATAGAGGCTCTGAAATAATAGAATTAAAATAACTATTTGTCTAATGATTACTATTATCTAGTTATTTAACTTTTAACTACAGGAGGGGTTTTTTCATTAAAGCGGTCATTAAGAAGTCAGAAATCCCCACTAGACTTTAGATTCTAAATATGCCATCATCCTCTCCCTTAAAATATATGTTGAAATCACAAGGGAAACATATCACATACAGAAATGCAGAAAGAAACAATGGGTAAAAATGTTTTTCAATAAATGGGCAAGTGTTTGCAGCAATGACTTCTCAATCAGGTCAAGGGTAGTACATGTAGTGATAACCCATGAGCAAGAAACTAAAATACCTCTGAAAGGTCAGTTAGACTTAGACTTATTAGGAGAGTATTTCATTATTACTATCAACCTTGCAGGGGCTTTATCTGCTTCAATTTCTTCCATTCTTGCATACACCTCCAAAGAAAACAATCACAAAATATTAGTGATTATTGTTACCACTTTCCAAGTCAAATTAAAAAAATTTTATAAAAATGGCAAGTTTAAGTTTTTGATAATTTTGGTGAGCAGGCAGTAAGACATTCAAAACTACCATAACCAAGGGTAAAAATTTCTATCCTTCTTTATGAGCTTTCATTGCTTTCCACTTAAGATTATGGTGTCTCTGCAGATAAATTACCCTGCCATGGCCAGTCAGAAGAGAGCTTTGTCCTTCCTTTTCAAATTTGTGTGCTTTCTTCCCATTAAGGAAATCTCAACTAACAGTATTTGCATATTCAAGTAACAAGTGAAGAATAATTTTCTCAAATCCAAGGGAAAGACCAGTATTTGTCATTTCACTGGGAAACATTGTGTTTTACCAGTTCTTGGGGTTTAATGGTCAGGTTGTACATTGTATTTCATACCTGTGCCAATTTGTTGCTGGCATCATCAGCAGTAGAATCTGCTTTTGAGCTGAAAAAAAAAAAAATTCAAAAACAAAACAAAACAAAAACAGTGTAACCAAATTTAACTCCACAACCACTGCTAACACCAGGAAGAAAGTCCTCTAGAAGCAAAATGTTGAGTGTTTTCCCAGCCATCTGAAAGCCATCATAACCACATGTGTATTCTCAGTATTAGCTGGGAAGTATGATCACTGTGTACACTGACTGATGTACAGCAATAGGCGTTTATCTGGTGCCAGGTTGGGATTATTATAGATACTGATTGTGACTCATTTTTAACAATTGCAACAGCCATTCAACTCTTTTTACATATATAGTGTTAGTCAGAACTTAAGTGGAGACAAATCACGTCATTTAAATATGCCATAACTTCTTCATCAGCTAAAACTTGCATTGTCTGCAACTATAATCATACATGTATCCTAGGGAGAGACCAAGTGGTAAACAGCAATAGCAAACCAGATTTTTTTAAGTCCTTTCCACCACCCTTTTAACACCCTTTAAATTCCTTAGAATTAGTATAGGTAATAGCATGATTTGTAGTGATATTTGGCATAAATACCACGAGTGATATTTCGAAATTGTTATCCGTAATTTCACGAGCCGTTAGGCGAGTGAAATTTGAGACAATTTTGAAATATCACGAGTGGTATCTATGCCAAATATCACGTACAAATCATGTACATTTTTTATTTATGAACTCAACACACATTTAACTCACCAGTAAATACTTCTCCAACCATAATACAGCTTTAAGATCCAACATATTTGTAGGTTCTATATGATGAAAAATGATACATTAGCATTGTTAAGCAAATCAAATTTAACATAACCAATGGCAGAAAAAAGAGATTTCTTACCATCAAGAAGAAGCAAATCTGGTCTGCAAGTAAAAATAAGGTTTAGAATAAAAAATAATAGAATACTCATGGTATATGATGTCCAAATAACATCTGAATAAAAAAATAATTAAATTTCTAGGGAATCCTACCACATTGCATACATGACTATAGTAAACCATATGATGTATAGTAAATGATGTATTTAATTTTTGAGTGTAAAAGTCTCTTACCGACTAAACAAAGTTCTTGCAAGGGCAAGTCTCATTCGCCATCCACCTGAGAGTTCTCTGCAAGTAACACCAAGCAAAAAAGGAAATAGCCATAAATCCTCTATTAACCCCCCACTCAAATAAGCCCCTCCCTCTAACAAGACCCCCCCCCCCTCCCCTTCCCTAATTATTCTTCACTAATAAATCATAGACTATATAAATCTATCACGATTGTAAAACTTTGTGTGGGCTGATCTGGGATGGTTCATTTACCAACCGGAAGTTCAGATTTGATTCTGATCCTCGGCTGTATGACCTACAACCTTCTTGTACTTGAGCTTTTCTACTTTGTATTCTAGTTCTTTATGGAGAAATGATACCATAGCCTTTTCTAAATTAAACAAGCCCTCCCTCTCAAATAAGCCCCCTGTCTCTATTAAGCCTCCCCTCAAATGGGCTTGAAATAGAGGATTTACGGTAGTAAATCAACGGGATACTGGTAAGGAATTAAACTTTGGACAAGTAAACTATAACCAGCATCAGTCTTTCTTTGACTAGTTTGACCACAGTTAATTGCTCTCCATTATGTAATTTGTACCGGTACAATGTTGCACTGTGTAAAGAAGTCAAAATTACTGTGCACCTTGTTTGCTGATGCTGCATTTTTGTTGAGAATCCCAGTCCAGCCAATATCATAGAGGCTCTGAAATAATAGAATTAAAATAACTATTTGTCTAATGATTACTATTATCTAGTTATTTAACTTTTAACTACAGGAGGGGTTTTTTCATTAAAGCGGTCATTAAGAAGTCAGAAATCCCCACTAGACTTTAGATTCTAAATATGCCATCATCCTCTCCCTTAAAATATATGTTGAAATCACAAGGGAAACATATCACATACAGAAATGCAGAAAGAAACAATGGGTAAAAATGTTTTTCAATAAATGGGCAAGTGTTTGCAGCAATGACTTCTCAATCAGGTCAAGGGTAGTACATGTAGTGATAACCCATGAGCAAGAAACTAAAATACCTCTGAAAGGTCAGTTAGACTTAGACTTATTAGGAGAGTATTTCATTATTACTATCAACCTTGCAGGGGCTTTATCTGCTTCAATTTCTTCCATTCTTGCATACACCTCCAAAGAAAACAATCACAAAATATTAGTGATTATTGTTACCACTTTCCAAGTCAAATTAAAAAAATTTTATAAAAATGGCAAGTTTAAGTTTTTGATAATTTTGGTGAGCAGGCAGTAAGACATTCAAAACTACCATAACCAAGGGTAAAAATTTCTATCCTTCTTTATGAGCTTTCATTGCTTTCCACTTAAGATTATGGTGTCTCTGCAGATAAATTACCCTGCCATGGCCAGTCAGAAGAGAGCTTTGTCCTTCCTTTTCAAATTTGTGTGCTTTCTTCCCATTAAGGAAATCTCAACTAACAGTATTTGCATATTCAAGTAACAAGTGAAGAATAATTTTCTCAAATCCAAGGGAAAGACCAGTATTTGTCATTTCACTGGGAAACATTGTGTTTTACCAGTTCTTGGGGTTTAATGGTCAGGTTGTACATTGTATTTCATACCTGTGCCAATTTGTTGCTGGCATCATCAGCAGTAGAATCTGCTTTTGAGCTGAAAAAAAAAAAAATTCAAAAACAAAACAAAACAAAAACAGTGTAACCAAATTTAACTCCACAACCACTGCTAACACCAGGAAGAAAGTCCTCTAGAAGCAAAATGTTGAGTGTTTTCCCAGCCATCTGAAAGCCATCATAACCACATGTGTATTCTCAGTATTAGCTGGGAAGTATGATCACTGTGTACACTGACTGATGTACAGCAATAGGCGTTTATCTGGTGCCAGGTTGGGATTATTATAGATACTGATTGTGACTCATTTTTAACAATTGCAACAGCCATTCAACTCTTTTTACATATATAGTGTTAGTCAGAACTTAAGTGGAGACAAATCACGTCATTTAAATATGCCATAACTTCTTCATCAGCTAAAACTTGCATTGTCTGCAACTATAATCATACATGTATCCTAGGGAGAGACCAAGTGGTAAACAGCAATAGCAAACCAGATTTTTTTAAGTCCTTTCCACCACCCTTTTAACACCCTTTAAATTCCTTAGAATTAGTATAGGTAATAGCATGATTTGTAGTGATATTTGGCATAAATACCACGAGTGATATTTCGAAATTGTTATCCGTAATTTCACGAGCCGTTAGGCGAGTGAAATTTGAGACAATTTTGAAATATCACGAGTGGTATCTATGCCAAATATCACGTACAAATCATGCTATTATTTGTTTATACCACTACCCGCAAAAGGTTTGTAATTTTCACATGTAGGTATTTCAAATTAAGCTGAAATACTACTGCTCTAAGCCAATCAAATTGCAGAAATTTCTCATTTAGTGGTATAAAAGATGAAACAAATCACAGTCATCATCTAAATACAAAATAACAACTTAAAAATGCAATGCTTCCAACATATGATTGACCAGTACATTGAACATGTTAGGGGACCTTGCAAGACCAAATGGTAACTGTAATAAGAGTTGGTTCTCACGGGCCACCTCAACCTTATGTGTATGTCTGTTTTATACTTGGCACTGGCTTCACATCTTAGTATTTCAGTAATGTGTAAGCAGGCTCCTTCAATTAAACACAGACTTATATATACCCACAGACCTAGTCCCACTAGAATCAATGCTTTATAGTGGAGCCCCATAGCTATGAAAATTTGGTTTTGGTAATCACATGACCTTACAAACCCCTACAAAAGCTTTGCCTTTAGTCTTGGCTAAATTTCTACATCATTTCAAGCATGTTCTTTTTCTAATGGGTTTGCTACCTACATAGAGAAAATAACACTGCTTATAATGTGTTTGAGTACAATAAGTACAAAATCCAGAGTACCTTCCATGTCCTGTAAGTGCAAGAAGTTTCTTTTCTTCTTCTAACAGTTTTTTTCTCTCTGTATCACATTCTAAAACACTCTGAAGAACTTGTGTCTCATCCCCTCGTACCTAAATGTTGTAAGTACAATAAAGGTAAAAATGGGTGGTGTTTAAAATAAACACCATGGACCTTAAAAAATTACCAGAATTATCCTAAATTTGACAGAAAATCAACATTAATGTAAAATACATGACTTACCTCCTGTTCAACACACAAAATAGAAATATGTGATGGAACAAATAATTCACGCCTGCAGGAAAAAATAAACCTTTTAAACAACCTGTTTATTGTGTATGGAGTTGTAGAGACAGCAACAATCTTTTTCAAAGGATGCTTTTACAAATGACACAAGGCTTTAAACACATGTCTGTGAAAATGAGAACTCCTGCAGAACTTTTTTGTCAAAGACTGCCTTTTAGGGCTACTGCGTCCTCTTTCAAATCAATAAAAACCCTGACTTTTTTAACAAGAGATACTTCATGTCACTCTTATAATTACCTGGAAAGCATTTTAATCAGTGTTGTCTTTCCAATTCCATTTCTTCCAACCAGACCATATCTCCTACCAAAGATGAGGGACATTTCTGCTTCTTTTAATAAAACCCTGAAATAGAATTCACAGAATGAATGTCTGAAAGCTACAGGTACAGTAGTTAAAACCCTTAGTATTAAAATTCAAAACCTATTCAATTTGTTGTTTTCAGCACATACTTTGCTCATAGAAAGGACAAGCTGAGGTTTAAGTTCTTTTTTTTGGCCCTGTTTATATAAGTTGACTCTCTCTTACTAACGCGGACACCCAGAGTTGGTCCCTGGCTTTCTTTACTCCCTTTATTTGACTCTCTATAAGATGGAAATCTCTTTAAGATGGACACTTAGTGCCTGTCCCAAGGGTCTCTATCTTCAAGAGAGTTGACTGTACATTGTAATTTCTAGGTTCAAAACATTCCCTTAAGTGACAATACAGTTTCATGAACAAGCTGAAAACCATTACCTGTCTGCATAAGAGAGGTCAAAGTTCTCTATCCTGACATCGCGGCTTTTGTTGGAACCACTTTGTTCTAGTTTATTTTCTCTTTTGTTGGAACTCTGGCAGGCTGATGCATTGTCTATTTGCCTGTTATAAGTAGTTGGCATAATAATATTACTGTATTGAATATCAATGTCTCAGTAGCCTTAGCTACTACTACCAATAGCTAAAATAAAAACTTATAAATTCCATCATCACACCTTCCCCTGATTTCATTTGAAGTTTGGTCTTCCTGTGCTCTTTTGTCTTGTTTTGCTTTTATTTTAGCTTCAGCCTTCTGCAACTTTTTCTGGTCAACAACCTGAAACAAGCAATGCCAATGCTTCACTTCACATGATCATGAGGGTCAGAGGAAAATGAGAAATATCTCTTGCCCTTTGGGCAGTGTGACATCATTGAAAGAAATTACTGGCCATGGATATGGGAGCATAATCTCATGGATAAGAATAATAAATACAGGGGTTTCAATACGCACTGACGATCGACAAAACATGTAGGCTTCTTTGCTCAGAGAAGTTAGCTACTTTTTTCCCAAAAGAAGAAGTAACTAGTTTCAACATCGTAAATGGATTGATAAAATCTGACGGATACGTCATTATGTGTTTTCACAAAGGTTAACTGTTATAAAAACACTGTAGTTCAGTCAATTTTTTGTGCTTGTAATTCTTTAAAAGTTTACACAGAATTTGCTCACATGCAAAATGTACATTTTGGTTATCGTCATTTGTTTATTGCTTGTAGGAGTCGATTGTGTGGCTGATAAATCGAAACTTGAATGAACACGACATTTTCTTGACGGTATTCAGTTGTACTCAATCTGGTCCCCAGAATGCTGGGAATCACATGTTACAGCTTTCCAATTTCCAAATTTGGGGGGGAAGCATGCTTCCAGACCCCCATAGAAAAGGGGGACTAACACAGGGGCTCCTTGTTGATAAAGTCAATTGTTATATTCAAACCTGCTGGTTAATTATTTTATTGAAACCCCCCAAATAGAATAAACTACCAACTAACAAGACGTCACTTGGAAATTAAAACAGTTCTCTTTACTAGATGACCAAGTGCAACACTTTTTGACTTCTTAAAATGGTATATATACATGTATGACGGGTGTACTTTATACTACCATAACGATAAAGCTTACTGTGTTGCACTCTTTTTTCACTATCCAAATGCTGTGCGTGTCTTCATCAGGGTTCACTACAATTTACAGGTAGATATAAAAACACAATACTAAAAGGTGAAAGAACATGGTAGTAGTTGACAAAAAAATGTTCTTTAGGTTTTGTGAGTTAGGTTAAATAATTGCTGTAATATAGTGGTTAATACATATTACTGACAGGGAGAAAAGTTCAGTGATTACGTGAATGAGAGCACAATAACCTTCACCTGGAAACTACACAGTTTGTGATACGGTTAAGGTATTTATTCTCAAATGTAATGTTTAGCTTTTAATGATTACCTTACCTAGTAAGTTTTCTGCAAGCTCTCCCATATTCACAGGAGCCTCCAGTAATTTATGAGTTCCCTGACCTGTTGCTGTGCCATCGCAGCCATCTCTAAAAAGAGAAATTGAAATACAATAACTTGCAGTCATAATGGTCAATGTATTTCCTTCCATGCTCATTAACAAGTTGGGAATGGCAGAATAATCAACTTAGCAAGTTTCTTATGGAAAGCTATTTTGTTCAAAATCAAACAATCAATCAAAGTGGTCGGTACTCTAAGTAACAGAACTAGTTTTAGGGTACATCACTAAAACTACAAAGCAAAATTCACACTCCCTCACTCTTTGCAAATTTGAAATATTAAAAGCAGGATGTTGTGATGACTGTTAACAAGACACTTACCCTTTTAAGGCACCCACAAGTTGATTACAAAGGTCAATAATTTTGTCATCTCCTTCATCACCAGCAACTTCTGCCAAAATGCTTCCAACTGCATCGTATATCTCTTCACCACTCTCAAAATCCTCAGATCCACTTTCAAGAACATCTGCAATATCATTATTGATAGCGCAACTAGATAAAACAAAACTGGAATACAAAACACTCAAACTGAAACCCACCATTATTACTGTCAAACTCAGAAAACCGTGAACACCTTAAAAATTTCAGGAATGTTGATTGTGTACTGGCCAATCACAATAAAGTTCGGGCTATGCAAGCAAACCTCAAAACCACAAATTAATTACCGTTGCTGCTTGCGGTTTAGTTATCTTGTGCATTTTTGGCTTATTTCTCACAACACAATAACATTCCATAAATATTTCAGGTGTTCACGGTTTTGTGAGTTTCAAGGTAAAGTACATTGGAACCCAGCCCATATGGACACCACAAAGACAAGCGGGAGTAAAAGTGCCTTTATTATATATGTATTGATATTAAGAAACCTCTCAGAAACAGCAACAGAAGTGCATTTGTTTTTTCAGTTCCAATACTGAAGTATGCAACGTAAACGCTACAGAAATAAATTAAATGCGTCAGTGGTAAATAGACTCTGAATATGACTACTGCACAGGTTGTCGAAATGTCATAACACACTTCCAAATTCCAACTTGATCTGGAAAGCATGGACATGTTTAAACGAGTTCTGAAGAACTCCAAAGTGTTTTGTGGGTAAACAAATTACAAGTACAATTACATTACCCGTTCCACCTTGTTGGTTGTTAATATTAATTATTGTGTTGATTCACACCGCCTGATCAAATAATCAAGAATCTCTGTAACTGCTGTCACTTTGACCTTCCTTTCCCAGAGAACTTATTCGCCAGCATCTGATTCAGTATCACTGAACCTATTATCTTGAGATATCATGGTATGCAATGAATACAAGTCGATTTGAAACATTTCTTTTTCTTTAAGTAAATCACGTACCATTTATAGTTTTCGAAACTTTTTAACAAGATACCAGAAAAATGAATGTAAACATAAGATGAATGAGAGGGATCGAATACGCAAGAGAATTCGAAATGGATAAATTAGTTCAAAGTAAGAGAATAGAAATTCTTTTCGGGACAAGATTGTTATACATGTACGTCATACATAAATGAACGCACCGGCAGGGTTATATTTACAGACAGTGGGTCAAATTATGCTGCTCAAATAAATGGATTGGGTTATATCATGATTATCAAAGCGCGATCGTCATAAACAACGCAGAGTAAATTACTGAGTCAGAGCACACTAGGATCCTACAAAGAAAAGAAAAAATTGCCTTTGACAACAACAAGGTTTCATAGAAACATGTTAATTTAAGCATTTACCTGTTACATACTGGAAAAGGTCACCATCTATTGACGGAAATCTGTCTAGAAGAATTTGCCGGCAATTTTCAAGACCAGCCGCCATGTTGTTTCACCATCAAGTGAATCTGCTATGATACTGCGGTCTTCACCAAACCGGAAACGGAAGTTTCATCACCCGTCACCAGGGCGGATAAAGGTTGGGCGGTGAAACGAGCGCGTCCGAGCAAAAAGGTGTGATGCAGTGGACTGGGACTCTGCTTAGAAATGTCGCTTGTTTTCGACTTCGGTCAGGGCTTGCGATATGATGTGGTTTGTACATTAGACACTGCCGCTGTCAGTGAATTATGGCGGCTTGAATTGTTTTCTTGCACTTCTTCCTCGTTCCTTTGTGCTGGTACGCTGTCTCCGAGAGGCAAATGTTGCTATTTTTGCGGGAGGTTTAGTTGGAGTAGACAAACATCTCTTTCAAAGGGTTTCTTTTATTACTTCCATGACTCTACCACTGAATTATATTTTCGTTCTGCTACTCGCCAATGTAATGTGAAAACAAAAACAACTAAGTACTGTCTGAAACACGAAGGAAAATCTCATCCATGTCATTCATGGCAAAACTATAAGTGTCATAACTAGATGACGTGTATTTTATAAATGCGTGCAGCTCGTGCAAGGTGAAATTATGCTAATTTCAATCACCATCATCCTTCTTTTTAATGTTGAAAAAAACATCTCAGACGTCTTTCTGTTTCTTCGAAACTTCAAAATTAGTTTTCCCTCAGTTTTTTCTGTTTACCTTGTTTTGTTTTAGAGAGAAAAACGGAGAAAAAACCTTACAACAAACCTCAATAAATTTTGTTTACATGCGGTTGCCGGATTTGCAACGCATTGCGCGAATGGCCATGGCGCGTTGCACCCGAGCAGCAAAGTTTGAAGAAGTACAACGCCACTATATCAATATATATCAATCTAATTCTTTGTTATGTTATATAAAATTTATCCTCCTTTAACATATGTAAAAACTGAGGTTAAGAAGTGTTAAGCTTTTGCAAACGAAATGGCGAAAGACGATTAGGTGATATTTAATGGAAGGAAGAGGTATTCAACGCTTTCAAATTAAACTCAAATTTTGGCATTATACGACTAACAAGTTTGACTTATAGACGTACAGACACAAACATATGAAACTGTTTTATTGATATTGTTATGAAGCGAATTTATCTATTTAACATTGTAGCCTGAAATTACAGAAAGAAAATAGGATTTCCAGTTTGCAAAAAGGAAAATTTCGCCGGCCTTGAAGCGCACCGGAAGCGCGGAAAGAGCGCTCGTGCCAGTCCTACTCCGCATCACACATTAAATGAAAAGCAGAGCGCTCGTTTCACCGCCCAACCTTTATCCGCCCTGCCCGTCACCCGTCACCCAACCCGCTTGTCACCAAAATGTCTACAAAAAGTGCTATAACATACCATAATGCTATTTGTTTGTAACCCCAAAATGCTGCATAAGCATTGTCATCAGTTTCTCTTGGGATTTATAGAGAACTTATGCAATATTTTGGGATGACAAACAAAGAGCATTATGGTATGTCATGGCATTTTCTGTAGTGGTCAATACCCAGTGTTTTTCAAGATTTTGCCGGCTTTGGCAGAGGGTACGTTCCTTCGCCCTCTCCCAACCTAGCACAGTTTGACCCACCATATGAATGCCTTAACAGCTTAAAGACATGCCCTCTCCAGTTAGCTTTTCGTCGAGTAAATCGCAAATAAGGAGGATACGCATATAACACTTTACGGCGTATAATGGCACAATTACAGCGGCATTCCAGCGAGGATCGCTGAATCATTAAACACGGCACACTAATATTAAATGACCCTTAAATCTAGAGGACCTTAAGGACAAGTAAAATTAGAGTGTATTTTCCGACATTTCGGCTTGCAAAACATACCTTCTACAGGGGCTCAAGAAAAGAAGCATGCTAGGTTTTTTTTAGAGTATTGCAAACCGAAATATTTAGTAAACACACTTCACCCACCAACTGTGATGATGTTAACGATGTCGGACTCTAACCTGAGATCAAGGCCAAATAAACAGCCCACATGCATTCTCTCTATGTGGTTGCGCTAAATTTTTACTTAGAAAGCGCGAAACGAAAATGGAGCCTGACCTCATGTGCAATGTGTTACTCCGCTCACCATTCTGAGCGAGGTGAACGCGCTGAGGACGAGGTATGCAAGGAGCTCCTGCTTACATACCAGAGAGGCCTCAAAATATATAATTGTCGAGGCCGATCATCGCGATTGAGGTGCCGTTTTCAGTCTTGAATTCTTTATGCAATACTGGGAATAATACACACTGCCTGTGGGGACGGGGATGCGGGGAAGTGTTATGGTTGGTGTGGGGGCCAATCCCAGTACCCACGGGAAAATTGCTATCTACGGCAATTGCGTTCTACATTCATAGGGAAATCAGGGGACGACGCGACGAACTAGTCACGAACTTGCAAGGTTATTTAAAAGTTGGTAACGTTAATCCACAGGCAGTAAACTTTTAAATAAACTTTTATCTGTACAAGTTTAGTGCAGGTATTTGAGATTTTAGTTACGTCTCTAGACCAGTTATTTAATCTTGAATGTACAATTTCGTTTCTTTCCACTTTTATTGTACCTAATTTTTATACGTAGTTAATGATGACTATTCACATCTTTATATATTATCTTTGAGAAGCCCCCTTTCAGGAAAGAAAGATATGGCATGTAAATGTCACGACTATGTATAAGTTAGACTGAATACAGAATACATGGAGCAAACAAGACAAATAAAATGTCTGGTCTGACATTTAGCATTCAAATCTAAGTAGCATGTCATGACCCCAAAATCCCAGTGAAAACGACTTGTCTGTGTACACCGGTTGTTGAAATCTACCATTACATAGTAAGAAGTCCCAATTCGCGCAGAGGAGACGCTAATATCTTACTGTTATATACTAAAGACTACTTTCAAGAGGGACTTGCGGTTGCAGGCCGCAATACTTTGCACAGAGTTCCTGCAGGTCTTCGTGCATTAAGGCCATTCCTAATGCAGCATACGTAGCATCTGATGCCTGAGACTTTTTCCATCGATCCAACAAGGTGTAGCATTTGTCATAAAGGGTCTTTTGATCATGATCAATATGTTCGACCTCCTTAGCACCCAACAAAATGCGGCACAGACTCTTCCACTGTGAACCCACGTCGTGTGCGAGATACAATAAGTCATCAAGTGACACAACACCAGGTTTAAAACAAAGGTCGTCTGCAAGGTACAATGTAACCACAAAGGTATTTGAAAATTGTATAAAAAGAGTTGCCGGTATTTAAGTGCAAGAGTGTTTTAGACTTCTGGTCCCAGTTGTTCAAAAGGAGAATAGCGCTATCCACCGGATGAATCACTATCCACTGGATAGCGAAATTGGTTTTCCTCATACTTATCCACTGGATAGTGATATATCCCTTGGATAATAGCGTTATCCAAGGTTTGAACAACCGGGGCCTGATGTACAAATATTGATTCTCTCACTAATAATTAAATTTGCTATTTTTTTAGCCCAGAAAATTAGATTTCAAGTTTAGCCGTGTCTAGAGTGAATATCAGATACTCATTAAAATAAATTTCCTTCAGATTTTCTTTACGAATGATTAATGACGTTTAAATTGATACTGTTAAATGTCATTTATCGAGGTAACAATCAGGCTGAAGTGAATGCACTAGCGCCGAACATATTTTTTTAGTATAGGGACAGAATGAAAGACACCATTAACTAGCCTCCCCACGCAGACATTCTTAGGGCTTGTCGCGCAAGGGAGGAACTTGTCACGCATTCCCTAAGTGACGTCTGCGCAGGAAGCTAAGATTTACCTGCAGCATGATTTCGACCAAAATGCTGAGGAAAAAAAAAAATGATGATTAATTTTTTAAAACGGTAATACATAGGACATTACAAGTTACAGAAACAGCATAGAAAGGGCACAGTTTAATGTATCCGGTGATCTAAAATGATGGAATGTAGTTCAGTATGTGAAATTGACTCAGTAAAATATTAATCATCCAAGCTTTCTTTTTAGGTAACTAAACGTGCCATGCAAAAGAGCCACCGAAACACGTGCTGTTTGGAACACTTGTATCAGTTTCACAGCCTGTATTCCTTTGCTTCAACTCTAAAGAGTAACTGTAAAGATTCAGTAGCTTGCAAGAAAACTGTAGAGCATAAGTATGTACCTTTAGCCAAGGCTTAAGTTTGTCTTCATCCAGTAGGGTTTTAGACTTGATAGTCTGTTCACACCTTAATGGCCGATCAGGGCCTAATGGAATAAAGTGGGCACAATCGGGATGTGGACAGGAAGGAATATGGTGCCAGGAACAGCCATCATCTCCTTCACTTTCACCCAAACACATATCACAGCGTGCACACAGCTTCCATGTAATGGAGTGCAGCCAATGACACCGCAGATGAAGAGAATCTAGGATATCTTCAATACATCTGCAACAAGACATCAAAAGAAAACTAACAATGATAACTGGAAAGGGTGATCCTGAAAACAGATTTTAACCTTCATTGAGTGACTCTCAATAAGACTGAGGCCCCGATTAAATGAGAGTGGTAGGACATCTGATAAGTCTCTACCCCTTGGCTTTCCTCTGTTTAAACGGTTACGGTCTGAAAAGTGATCTTGGATCGCTCTGATTCAACACGGGAGCTGAACCGACTGACTTCTTAGAATTAACCATTCAAGGTAGCTTTTTATTCTTAAGCGAAAAAAAACTTGATGACAATGTGTGGGAAACATCAAGGGCATCGCACGAGACATGGTTTTCTTCAAGACCATGCCATTGCGGAAATTCCACATTGCAATCAAAGATGGCACCCAGAAAAAAACGAAAAAAGGGCCGATTTTGCCCTTTCTGTATACAAGCTTGCAGGACACAGGGGTAGTATTTTAAAAGCCTTTCATGTAACATAAATACCCAACCTGTAAACTTGTTGGCAGATGGCAGTCATCTCTGTTTCCTCTTCTTTGCTACCTTCTCGCAGAACATGGACCATTACCACACTTTTGAAGAAAGCAAACGTCAAACCGTAATCTTTTTTCTTCCCAATAAAAAACCTCGCTGTGTTTGCAGACATTTTGGGAGGCCTTGCAGAGTGCTCCTTTGAAGCCCAATCGGAAAACAACACAACGAATCTGGAGAATAATCCATACGGAATATACCCAGTGTTGAAAGTGACATAAACTGGTGCAGTCATATGTTGGTCAATTAATGCCACAATTTCGTTTTCTGGCGTAGCCGGCAGCATTGATGGTACAAGGTAGACCACCTTCCCATTTTGGACTTCAAGTCGGCAAACAAGGCTTGCTTTCTCCATGACAGAAAGAAGTGATTCTTTGGAGAGGTTGACGTCAGATTCTTGGCAGGCAAAGTTGACAAGCTCTTCTGACAAGATGCCTTTTTTAGCAAGAGTTTGGCGGCATTGCCGGATATTCATCGGTTCTTTCTTCCCAGAAACAACTGTTATAATTTCACAGAATAGATGAACTAACCACTGTGGATCCAGGAAAACCAAGCTGTTGGACTCATCAGTTTCGTTGAAGTAAAGAATAGCACCACAATCACACAAAAAATGCAACAGCTCGTCACTGTCTTCATGCACTTGAAAACGACACACTCTTTTAGCCACTTCTTTAAACTGTTGTAAAGTGATATACTTAAATCCTTCTCCAGCAAGGCGATGGAGTACCTTCTCCACACAAAGCCACTGAAGAGGAATTTCCCTGTTTGTATGAGGCAATAAGGAGGCCACAGAAAGGATCTTTTGCCGTAATCTTACAATAGTTGGATCCTCTTGGGCTTGCCCAGCCCGAGTGTTGTCAACAGAAAACTTGTCAACAATCAGCGACGAAAATGCCTTTCCATGAAAACTGTCCAAGATGGCTTCCAAACGGTTCCAAGGATCGCCACTGACTTTGTCGGCATGTGTTCCAACTAAGATAACTGGCGGCTGGGCAGAGCTTGTAACACTTGCAACGCTGGTATCATGAAAGGAATGAACAAAGTCCATCCACCTCACCAGATGATCGAAACAAGAGTCAGTTTTGTGTTGCATATTAGTTGCTCGTGCAGATTGACCTGTATGTTCTTTGCTGAAGAGATCCTTGGTCAAGTCACAAACCAGTAAATATACGGCTTCCCGTGACATGAAAATTGGATTCATGCCATGTAAAAGAGATTGACCAGAAAAGTCCCAAATCACAGGCCATACTTCCTCTGAAGCAGAGAAGTGTTCCTGTCGGAGCATGCGCTCTACTAAATTAGCCACATTCTGCGGAAGATTGTCTGATGGGTCCTGATCGCTCGTGAGAATATCCTCTACCAAGCTGGCCATATTCATCGGAAGAGGATCTGAAATAACTTGATCACTGGTGAAGACATCATCTTGGAAAAATGGTGAGGGCGGTCCTTCGTAATGATCTTTTGCATTCGGCATTCCTGAAAAAGAGGCAACAAACATGAGCATGGACTCAAAACTGTTTGAGATTTACCTGACTATTTAAGTGCAATCTTCATCGATCACTTGAAAATAAAAACTATAAGATGTTTTCATTTCAACACAAACTTTTGAATTCTTGGATCAAAGAAAGAGTTACAAGAGTTGACTGTTAATTATTCTAAACACTTTTGCTCCAAGCAACATGTAGATTATAATGTGTCACATTTTCGAAGACTTCTACTTAGACAAGGATTGCTCAAGAATACATTCATTCACCGTTTCGGGGAAAGGTCATTTCAACTTTTTTCATCACAGTTTTTGAAGAAAAAACATAAACTATGTTTCAAGGCCCCTTCGCAAAACAGAAAAAAGAAGTGACATATGTTTTCGTTATTCCCGCATGGTATAACTGAAAAGAATTGGCTACTATACCTTTAAAACGCTTCTTGAAGTCGTGCATGTCTTTGCAAGACCCTATCCCATTGGATACACCGTTAGATGCAGAACAATTGGCTTCACTACATGAAAAACCTTTTCTTCCAGGGTATTTGGCCTTTGCCAAATCAGAAGTTGGATAGCCATTAGGGTCCGAGAGCTGTCGAACCACAAGCTGAGCACTTCTATGATCGAAAACACTGATGTTTTCAACTGTTTTAAGTGCACTCCAAGCTTTCAAACCATCCTTCAAAAATGGTGTATCCATATCCACTCCTAGCGTACTAGCCTCATGTTTATTGAAGTTTTCCCCCTTAAGGGATCTCTTTAAACTTGTTTTTCCTGCTTTACCTTCTCCAATAAGCATGATTCGCACGCGTACATCACGTGTTTTACCATTCTCCAGGGCTCTTCTGTAAGCTGCTTTGGCTTTGCTTCCTCTAGCTACCACAGCTGGCGGAATAAGGCCTGGGAGCGAAAGACACATTAAATTAACCAAAAAAAAAAACCTGTACTGATGGTCCTAGTTGTTCAAAAGGTGGAAAACACTATCCACTGCATAAATCTCTAACCAACTGATAAAGCAATTGGTTTCCCTACTACTTATCCCCTCGATAGTGGTTTATCCGGTGGATAATGCTGACCAACGTTTGAACAATCGGGGCCTGAATTTACCATGACGCAAGAAGGCTCTTATTCAACTGCTAACGGTTGCAGTAGGCGGGCTGTGACCAAATCTAGAATCGCACAGTTTATCATTACGTCTCTACATGAATATAAAACAAAATTATAAAATACTGACTGATATGTTTGTCTCTGAACATGTAACTCAGTAACGCCGAAGCCACTAAATAGAAACTTTTGATCAGATACATGTACGTTAAAATACTACGCAACTTTAATGAAGGATACGGAAAACTGGATCAAAAACGGTGTTTAAATTTGTAGAAAAGCTGTACTGAGATTAAACATACATTTTAAGTCTTTGTCAATCTTGACAGGATCTGTAAGCTGTGATTTCAGACGCCCGCGGCACTTCCTGTAAGACTGCAAATGAGATGACGTAATAAGTTAACACCCTGTAAGTTGCCGCTAAACCGTTTTAACACAACATCAACAGAGAACAACAGCCTTAACATAAAAAACAAGACACATAACAGCAACGAGTTTTCTACGTGCAATTTTACTGTATTTAGTGTCCCTCTTAAGTTCGATCACCCAAGGGTGTCAAGTTTTGACACGTGTATATCGTTCTTTTTAGGTCTAGACTGCGAGCAGTCTCCCTCTTTCTTCAGATTTAGTGGAGGGAGTGCACGCGCGCACAAGCGTCGAGCGTCGGAACCGCGAGACGAGAGAAACCAGGGCGGCGCCTCTCCCGTCTCGCGCCTTCAATCATGCGCGTGGTCATTTTCGTGTCTCGCTCAGCATGTTGGAATGGGTTGGCGAAAATGTTTTACCAGAAGTTAACTCTTTCTATCAAAAAGCATTAAAATCATAATAGTATGCTTAGTCTACAACATTTTTTATTTTTTAGTCATTCCATACCTCAATCAAATCAGACAAAGTATTAAATTGATGATCGTTTCCAATTGTGAAACGATTTTTCTTGAACTCGACCATATATCGGGCTGGCTTGCCTTTCCACCTGTCAAATTTAAACAACAGACCATTACCAAACGGACTAGGTGCAGTCCTTCATTTTCGTCACGGACAGTAGAGCAAGGGAAATTTGCAGACAAGCATGAAACTCGCCACCGCGAGGAAGGTGACTCACAGATAAAGGAGCGCACCTTCCTCCTGGGTGGCACTCTGAAAAAATGGCTGACATTTCAAGACGCCACCACTGGTTTTGCTGAGAAACGACGTCTGAGAGATGACCACAGAAAGTCCATACTGATGACGCATCATTAAGTAGGCATCAGGTAGTGGGTAGTGCTTCTGATTGGTCGTGTCGTGGGGGAAATTTGTTTCAACCAATCAGAAGCACTACCAAGATCTGGCTCATCAGTACGGAATTTCTCCAGTCCCCCCTCAGACATCATTTTGTGGAGAAACTAGTATTGGTGTAACAAAATGTTGGCTGTTTTCTCAGGCTATGAGGGTGGCAGTTTCTGTGCGAGCTCTCAAATGTTTCATATCACTCTAATATTCTGAGGAAAATATTAGACTAATTGTTGACTGTATCTGACAGACACAGAGGGCCCTTAATTAGAAATGAAACATGCAACTAACACTTCACTGTACTTTTAGAGACTCACCATACATAGAGGCAGTAGTTTCCAGGAGATGTGGCGCTATCTTTCATCAGGAACATTCCATCTTTTGGTACAGTACTTTTGACCAAAGACTCTATCTCATTATGAGTTAGGTTACCAACGTACCAACTAATTAAGGAAAATGAGAAAAGACTTTTTAAGGCCTCTGTAACAAAATGAAAAAACTATTATTGTAGATTATACTCACTATCTGTCTTCTCATTGGCTAAGAGCTTAAAGTCATTTTTGGAAATCAGAGCAAACTAGAGGTTTAATAGCTAGTCATTATTTCCAAGAGCAATGTCAAACTATGTTCTGTGCAAGAGTGAGTTTATCGTTATTTTCTTCATGACAATGATGACGATGACGTTTGTTGGGAAATCAACATGGAAAGGGATAAAATGAGGTCAGGACAGTCATAAGTTCTATTTTCAGTTCCCCTTTTATTGCTGTTATTTCTTTGTGAATGTTCATCAGTAATGAAGCAATAAAGCAGCTAGGTATAATCAAGGGTTTGTGGTATTTAAAGTCTTGTTAAGCTTGGTATCCGCTACAACAACTGACCAACATAATTCGCCACTTGCACGTCTCCCAAAAGGCACCTTGTTTGCCCCCCAAAATTTTGCATAAGCATTGTTTTTAATTTCTCTTAGGATGCCTGTAATACCGAGTAGAAATGAAAAACAATGGTTCTGCAAAATTTTGGGGGGCAAACATGGTGTATTATAAGAGATTACACTGTTAAACAAGTGAAATAAACATACTCTTCATCCCAAGGATGAACCTGAACATAAATTGTAGAGTTTTCCACGACATGGTAGTCACTGAGATGAAAACTATCCATAACCAGAGGTTTGTCATTCAGTCGTAACAACTGACAGTCTGCAGGCTCACCACTCTTTTCTTCTATCTGCGCTTTAAGAGACTGCACTTGATTTAAGGTGCTTGTGAGCAGGGAAAATGTCTTGGACCCAATCACCACATTAATATGAATTTCAGTTGATACTGTAGTGTGAAGTCGAGGTCTTACCAATGAGCTGCCTGTAGTTAATCCTGTGGAGATGACAGAGGTCAGGATCATATTAATATATAAGTCAATATTCCTGACGATATTACATACGAATTATTACGGTAGGTATACATGGATATCAAGGTCAAAGAATACTCCTATTGAACCTTTTCCAATCATTGGTAATGATCACTTTCAAATAACCTTCCCAGAATTTAGTTTAAGAGTTGTTGTACAAGCTTGTTGTTATCCTGAGCTTCTCATGCAGATGCAAGTCGCTGAGGAGTACTTCATATTTATTTCAATACATCAGCAAGAGAAGCTCCAGATGGAAAGAAATATGAATTTCAATGCCAATAAACTTGTACCCGTAAATCCATTAGATCTCATTGTTCATGATTTATACTTTTCAAGTGAATCAGATGTACATAGGTTTTAATATGTTAAGAAAAATAATTATTAACATTAACATGTAATACCTGGACATTTTTTTATTACACAATTATTAATTTTAATTATTAATTATTTAATTATTAAGACACTCTTTCTAACTGCACAAGCAGTACCTTCTCCTCCTGTACATTCAGAGAGCTCAGACCTTGTCACAGGCTCCTTCAGTTTGCCTTTAATGGGTAGCCCTTCTTTGCTCTTGCAAAACTGCAAAGATGTAAAATAAATACAAGATTATTTAGTGAGGGTGAAATACAGAAATGATCATTACCAGTTATCAGGTTAGTTAATTAAATAATGGCCCTCCAGTCATAAAAAAAAGAAAAAAGAAAGAAATATTCACATGGGGACACTGGCATGTAATGTTGTCTTAGTAAAGAAGTACTTCAAAGTAACAAAATAGATCCAGTGCAAATCAGAAATACATGCACCTCATAACAAATATTAATTAATTATTAAATGGACTGTTACAACCTTAAGAATATAAGGATGGAGGATATCAGCTACCTCGTTCTCTAGACCACCAAAGGCAAAAATTTTTGGCTTTCTAAAGTCTCCTCACCACGCACTATTTTGATCCTTTAATATTACAGTACATATATTTTATGTAACTTTTCTTGTTCAACTTAAACTTGTCTAAGATTACAGTGTATCTTGTGTTGTAGATATGGAATCACAATAAATTTACCTCAAACTGACATGATGGTATAAATAAATGAATAAATAACTTAGTATACAAATTTTCACACCTGGATCATTTCAGCAATGGTGTAAAAGAAATCATGTTCATTGATTGCAAACATCATATTCTTGTGACAGGATACTTTGAAATGCTTGACTTGACCAGCATCACTATATTTAAGACAAGTAAATGATATCTGCTGTTTATATAAAACTAGGCTAACTGCATAAATGTCCTTAGATTTAAAGATAGACTGAAATGTACTGACCCCAACTCATCTAACTAACAATCACCAATCTAACTAACAAATACAGGTATTTTTATTCTGGCAAATCACCTTATTTATATGTAATGGCAGGTATACATGGCATGTACCACCTTACTTGCATATAACATTACTTGAATGTACATTTATATTTCATATTATTCTGGGAGCCATAGAGCCCTTAGTGACTTCTGATTATCTGCTAAAATCTCCTTCCAATATTCTTTATATTATAGTCCAGAAATCTGAACTAAGGGAAGAACTTGACTTAACACCAGGAGCCAATTAAGTCCTCTTCAGTGCTCTTCTACACTGAAGTAGTTTAGAACGTAAAGCACAAGTGACAAAACATATGACCAACATACCGTACAAATAGGACATAATCACCAGGAAAAGAGACACTCTCTTTAACGAGAAACTGTCCCTCAGAAGCTGAAGACATAATTTCCTCAGCTTGGTCACGCCCTATTTTTCCATGGAACCAACTGTAAATAGAACAGAAAGGTTATTACAGACAACATAATTTTATGTTTGAAAGTGCATTAAGCTATTAAAATTGAATATAATATTTAAATATCAGGTAGTTTGAAAAGCACTAAGAGAAATTAGTGGAGGTAATGCTATATATATTTATTCTTGTAAATTAGTAATAATCGCAGACTACCTAGTGCATTTGAGGTTAGAGTTTGTTTTGGTTGGAAAGGCTTGCTTCTGACATATAAAAATTATGAGTTTTACCATGAGGATAGTAATAGGGAGTTTGAGATACCACAATGGTGACGGCCATGAAAATGGCGCTTAAAAAGTGAATTTGAGTTCTTTCAATCTCCATTGCGATTACTCCAACTCATTTATTTATTGTCAAATGCGAACCAACTCTTTTTGACCCGAATTCCTAAGAACCATATTCAAGTTCAGAAAGAGAAAGAAAATTTAGCGTTTACTTGTTTACGTCATCCATAAAATGTGATATTAGGCATTTCCCGTTGTAGTCATGGAGTGATGAAAAAGAAATATACAAAAAAGTGTAATGCAAGTGCAGAGTTGCTGTTTTGCCTATTCAACCTTGTTGCTTTTTTTACTTTCTCGCTGTCGTTGCCGTTGTGGCATCTTAAAGTCCCTATTCATTCAAGATCATAAAACAATAAAATTAACACTTACTCTTACTAATACAAGGTGTTCAGATGGAAAATAAAACAAAAGCTAAGACCTTTTTACCTAGTAAGTAACAGCTTTTTGCCATGTTTGGAGTAGGGTGACACAAAGGCTTTCATTGAAGGACAAAAAGGTCACTGCTTCGTAGCAAAAGAGGTCCAAGATTATGAACTATGTATCAAACTTAAATACAGCCCTAGTGGTCAATTTATTATCAGTAGGCTTGTACAAGGTAAATGTTGTGGTTCAATTTTATCTTTGGTTTAAATTTTATTTTCTTTTGTTTAGGATGGTAATGTGTGATGAGTTTGAAACAAAAGAGAGTAAAATTTAAAGCAAGGATAAAATTGAGCCACAACACATACGCCTTGGTTCAGCTCCACAAAATTCATATGTTGATTTCTTCCATTCCTTCCGGAAGAGAGTACTTATGATAATGAATTTAAAACAAAGGAAAAATAAAATTTTTATCCAAGGATCAAATCAAACCAGAACATACTCTGTACATGTGTGCTATTTAACTAGATTTATTAAAGAAACATCAACGATAACTCTGGTAATTTCTGAGTCATAAAAACTGAACCTTTGTTTTTAAAAGTGAAAGTACGTGAGTGAATTTTTTATTCTCAGCGAGAATTCTCCTTTGGAACTCGGAAATCAAGGTCTGTTATAAAACCAGTAAATATGAGTGCAAAGACTGAAACGATTAATAAGTAGTTTCTCAAAAACCATTAGTCACCCACGAAGTTAATGGTAAAATTAAAGTGCACTTTCGTCATTTGCACAGCACACGTTTGAAGCCAAGTAGCTTGTCACGTTCTCCTCTATGTCATAACGCAAACAACCAACTCACCTCTCACTCCACGGATGAATCTGCACGTACAAAACAGAACTACTGATCACACCGTAATCCTCTAAAGTATTGAATAATTCTCCGAGTGGCCTATTTATACGGTTTGAAAGTTCAACAATGCGTAAAAATAAACTATCTGCGCGTAGATCCAGTATGATCGACAACTGCTGTTTCAAATCGTTTATAGTTGCCGCTTTTCCCCCTTCAGGAGTGACGAGCAAAACTCGCCCAGTTTCAGTCACTATGTTGATGTAATAGGAAGAAGACGAATTGCCCCGTTTGTACGACAAATATATCACTGCTTTCTTCTTCAACAAGTCTCCAAAATATATGCTACTGTCGTCTTTCCATTCAACAGTTGCTCCATTCTGTAAAACATGAAGAGTTTGAAGGCATGGCGAGAGGCCAGTCTCTTTCGAGATCTTTTTCTTGAGAGTTTCCACTGTATCTAATAAAGTTCCATTTACGGGAATTCTCTTCGCGTTCAATATATCCACACACGCCTGCATAGCGAAGCTCAAGCGACGTGAATCAGCACAAATCGAAAATTAAATGAATGAAATCACAAACTAAATCGCTCAGCTCGCAGGTTGTTGACTGCAATCGATACCTCAGATGTGTACTTGACTTTCCTCTCTTGCTGACTGACTAAGAACAAAGAAAGAAATGAGTAACAAGGAAATCAAACACTTTTGTATTCGATATCAACGTACAGCTGTAGATACATGTATCAGTGCATTCCTTACGTGTATGACTCTACGCTTTTTTATATACCATACTCCATTTTGTTACATGTGACGTCACGCATAATCAAGACACGTCCAATATTGAAAAGGTCAGGTGCATCAGAAACTCTCGGTTTTGCATGAAATTTATCGGACCACGTTAACCTTGACCGCGGTCAAACGATGTAAATCAAAAGCTTTCTCGAAGTTTTATGTATTTCCAACGTGCCTTTACCTTACTGCTGCTGAGAGTTTATCAAAGAAGTCATGTTCTAAAGATGAAAACTGAACTGTGTCCACTTTGCCACAATGAGAATAATTTGCTGGTGTATCAACAGACAGACGATTTAC